AATTAACAATTTCTATTGCATCTCCATGGCAGCCATGGTCCAAGCAATCAGCACCCTCTTCTCATGCTGCTTGAATTGTTAGATTGTAAAACCATAAGATGTAGGAGCAGGAGTAGGCCATTCAGCCCATTGTGTCTGCTCCACTATTCAGTGAGATCATGTCTGATCTGATAATCTTCAAATCCATTTTCCTGTCTTTTTCCCATAACCCTTGATTCCCTTACTGATTAAAAATCTGTCTGTCTCACGCTTGAATATTTTTAAAAACCCAGTCTTAACAGCCTTCAGCAGTAAAGAATTTTACAGGTTCATTACTCTCTGGGAGAAGAAATTCCTCATCTCTATCCTAAGCGAATGATTTGTTATCCTGAGATTATGTTCTCTGGTCCTAGATTGTCCCGCAAGGGGAAACAATCCTTCCGCATTTACTCTGTCAAGTCTTCTAAGTATCGCATATGTTTCAATAAGGTTGCCCCTCATTCTTCTAAACACCAATGAGTACAAGCCCAACCATCTCAATCTTTCCTCATAAAACAGTACGTCCATACCCAGAATGAACTTAGTGTACAATCGCGGAACTGCCTCCAATACCATTATGTTTTTCCTTAGGTAAGAGGCACAAAACTGTTCACAGCATTCTATGTGAGGTAGTACATTGCATAGTTTTAGCAAAACCTTTCTGTTTTTATACTCCTGTATATTTTGATGGACAATAAAGCAAACATTTGACTTAATGGTAAGGTCCTGAGGTGTGTTGCTGAACAAAGAGACCTTGGAGTGCAAGTTCATAGTTGCTTGAAAGTGGAGTCCCAGGTAGACAGGGTAGTGAAGAAGGCATTTGGTGTGCTTGCCTTTATTGGTCAGTGCACTGAGTATAGGAGTTGGGAGGTCATGTTGCAGCTATACATTGGTTAGGCCACTTTTTGAATACTGCATGCAGTTCCAGTCTCCCTGCTATAGGAAGAATGTTGTGAAACTTGAAAGGGTTCAGAAAGGATTTACAAGGATGTTGCTAGGCTTGGAGGGTTTGAGCTATAGGGAGAGGCTGAAAGTGCTGGTGCTATTTCCCATGAAGCATCAGATGCTGAGGGGTGACCTTCTAGAGGTTTGTAAAATCATGACAGGCATGGATAGGGTGAATTGCCAAGGATTTTTCCCCAGGGTGGGGGAGGCCAAAACTAAAGGGCAAAGGTTTAAGGTGAGAGGGGATTTAAAAGGGACCTAAGGGGTAACTTTTCATGCAGAGGGTGGTGCGTGTGTGAAATGAGCTGCCAGAGGAAGTGGTGGAGACTGGTACAATTACAACATTTAAAAGGCATCTGGATGGATACATGAATAGGAAGCGTTTAGAGGGATATGAGCCAAATGCTGGCAAATGGGACTAGATTTATTTAGGATATCTGGTTGGCATGGGCGAGTTGGACCGAAGGGTCTGTTTCCATACTGTATATTTCTATGACTCTGTTTGATTTGTCATTCTATTACCTGCTGAACTTAGTATGATAGACTTTTATGATTTAGGCAAGAGGACCCCCAATCCCTTTCTGTTGCACCGATGTGTCATATTTCACCAGCCAAATAATATTCAGCTCCTATATTCTTCTTGCCAAAGTACAAAAGCTCATATTTTCTCACATTATTTACTATCAGCCAAGATTTTGTCCACTTGTTTAACTTGTCCAAATCCCTCTGTAGAGTCTTTGTGCCATCCTCAGTACTGGCCTTCCCACTTATTCATCCACAAATTTGGCAATAATATGTTCACTTCTTCATCCAAATCATGAACAGATGTAATTAATTTGTTGCCCCAGCTCTGGACCCTGTAACATTCCACTAGTTACAGGTGTCCATCCTGAAAATGCCCCCTTTATCCCAACTCTCTGTCTTCTCTTAGTTAGCAATCTACTATCCATATTGACATACTACTCTCAACAACATGGGCTCTTATCTTATTAAGGAACCTCACAGTGCCTTGTCAGACAACTTTTGGAAATTTAAATACATTACATTTACTGGTTGCCCTCGATTTCTGCAGGTTGTCACCTCCTCAAAGAATTTTAATATATTTGTCTAACACGATTTTCTGTTCATGAAGCCATACTGACTCTGCTTGATTATACTATGTATTTCTAAATGCTGTATTATAAATCTTCTATAATAAACTCTAACATTTTCCCAAAGACATACATTAAGCTAACTGACCTTCAGTTACTTGTTTTTGTCTTCTTTCCTTTCTAAACAAAGGTGTTAAATTGGTCATTTTCCCATCCTCGGGATTTTTCCGGAATCCTGGAAGATTATTACCAATGCATTCACTATTTTGGTAGCTACTTCCTTTAATATCCTGGGATGCAACCCATTGGAGGCAGTGGCCTTATCTGCTATTCACCCCATTAGTTTGCCCAGCATTTTTCTCTAGTGATAGCTATTGTATTTGTTTCCTCTCCCCTGTTGCCCTTGATTATTTAATGCTTGAAATGCAATTAGTGTCCTCTACTGTGAAAACTGATGCAAAGTATTCGTTCAACTCCTCTGCCATTTCCTGGTTCCCCAGTCACATTTTCTAAGGGACCTATACAGTGTGGAATTGGAGAAACACAGCAGGCTGGGCAGAATCAGAGGAGCAGGAAAGTTGATGTTTTGGGTCAGGACCCTTCTTCAGAAATGAAGAAGAATCCCGACCTGAAACATCAACTTTCCTGTTCTTCTGATGCTACCCAGCCTGCTGTTTTCCTCCAGCTCCACACTATATTGTCTCTGACTCCAGCATCTGCAGTTCTTGCTATTTCTAAGGGACCTATGTTAATTTTGCCTTCTCTACCTTTTCATATACTTAAAGAAGTTTTTGCTGTCAGTTTTAATATTACTTGCTAGGTTAATATCAAAGTTTATTTTCTCACTCTTACTTTATTGGTCTCCTAAATTTGGTTTTCTGGTGTCCCGTCCTGATGAAGTCAAGACAATAAACTTTGACTTTGTATCTCTTTTCATCAATGTTTACGTTCTGCTCTAGCAAAGAAAGAAGTGTGATAAACAGCTGATGTTACTGCAGGAGCGGAGCAAATCAAACAACAACTTGCTGATTTCTGCCTTTCTCAGCTGTATTTCTACCTCAAAATCACGAGCGCTGTGTACTTTTTTAAATCTTTGAATCTACTTGCACTTCCTTCTGTAAGGTTTTATGAACTAGATCTTGTGGTTGTCTGCCGAAGGCTCAAACCACTAATCTAGTTTGTTAACAATGCAAAGCGGCCTTTTCTAATCTGTTCATACAATTTATAGTTGTGGAATAAAAAACAAATTGCTGGAGAAATACAGCAGGTCCAGCAGCATCCGTGAGAGAAAGCAAAGTCAATGTTTTGCCTCTAATTACCCTTGATCAGAACTGTAGCTCGGCCAAGGTCGTATATGTGGTGGGTGGGGGCAATTGAAAGGAGTAAGCAATAGGCGGAGATAAAGTCTAGAGGAAGAGAGCAGCAGCTGGGCAGACAAAAGGTTGGATAATGGTGAGCCAGGGAGAAAGAAAAGCTGCTAATGGAGACTATCAGTTGGTGGAAATGGATGGGCTGTCATGAAAGCAGCCCGTGTGATGACAAGACCTGGATGTGGGTGTGGGTAAGGGTCGTGGAAGAATGTGCTCAAGCTCTGAAATTATTTAACTGAATATTGAATCCTGAAGGCTGCAGGATCTCCAAGGGGAAAATGAAATTATGTTCTTCCAGCTTGTGCTGAGCCTGACTGAAGGACTGCAGCAAATCCCAGACAGACAGAAATGTTGGCCAGGGTATATGATAGTGATTTGAAGTGGCAGGCAACAGGAGGCTCAGAGTCATAGTTTGCAGAGAGAACAGGGGTAGGTGTTCCTCAACATTGTTACGCAGCCTGCGGCTAGTCTTCACAACGTACAGAGACACTGCGAGGCGTGTCACTTTCTTAAAAGCGCTAAACACCCACGGGACTGCATTCAACGCACTGTCAGATTCGCTCAGTCACTTGGCAGCATTATAACGGGAATTATAACGCTCACTGCAAACGCTATTTACAGCAGGCAGCACGGCTTTATTTCTCCTGTTGCGAAACGGTAAAAGTCGGATCTGTCATTCGATCCACTTGTAACTTGTGAAGTGACGGGAGCATGGCGGAGCTCAGTACTATCTTTCCTTCTGGACCGTTCACATCCCTCGAGCCGGGCAACAGAACTTACTGTAACGTTAACAAAGACTTCACAGCGAAGTTCCTGCCGACCGTGTACACCATCGTGTTTATAATGGGCTTCCTGGGGAATTGCTGGGTGCTGGGAGATATGTGCTTGAGCCGGAGGAAATGCACCAACATCACTGTGTTCTTATTTAATCTGGGCCTGGCTGATCTCCTGTATGTCATTAGCTTGCCCTTCCTGGTGGTGTACTATGCCAGTGAACGCTATTGGATGTTCGGGAAAGCGTTTTGCAGAATAACGAGGCTCCTGTTCCACCTGAACTTGTATGGCAGCATCGGATTCCTCACCTGTATCAGTGTGCAGCGGTACCTGGGCATAGTGCACCCCATGAAAGTGTTGGGCAGATGGAATCGCCGCCACTCGCTGCTCATCAGCCTCCTGGTCTGGGGGCTGGTTCTAACCCAAACCTCAGCCGATCTACATTTCACCAAGACGAACCTCAATGGCACCAAATGTTACGACAGCGTTACGACAAAGGAACTGAAGCAGTACATAAAGTATAATCTCGCCCTGTCCGTGATAGCTTTCTTCATCCCCTTCCTCATCATTGTCGGCTGTTACAGCCACGTTGTTCTGGTTCTGATCCGCAACAACAACGTGGACCAAGGCTTGAGGGATCGCTGCCTTAAGCTTGTGCTGATCATGACGGTTTTGTTTTCGCTTTGTTTCGCACCTTATCACGTCCTGAGGAACGCGAACCTGATCTCGAGGTACTTCCAACTCCAGGGCCAGTGCATTCAAACCTTCAAAAACATTTATCTGGGTTACCAAGTGGCCAGGGCCATGGCCAGCTTGAACAGCATCATTAACCCACTCGTTTACGTTCTGGCTGGAGACAATATGAAGTCATGAATTGAAAAGTTCGGAAGAGCTGCCCGTACTTTGTCCTCAACACCTACCATCCAAGTGGCTGAACTTGAAAAGAACTTACTTAGCAACCTATAAATATTCAATAGCTTCACAGCACCTCATCACCTATTATAAAATGTTCAGGATATGCCAAAAGGTATTTTATTGCATACATTACTGCTCCTGTTTAACTGTGCTATATATACGTTTTTTAAAGCCTACATTTTACTTTCTGTGCATGAATATTACCTACTGAACGGGGAATGGGGAGACTTCCTGTTTCTCATATAACTTTTCCTTTGGAGGAGAAAGTAGTTGCTTAAAAAAATGCACAGAGGTTTCAACATGCATTTTCAGTAGGGCCAGCACAAGTTTTATAAATACGCCAAAAACAAATCCCAAAGAACTGTGATAACACAGTGTGGAGCTACAGGAACACAGCAGGCCAGGCAGCATCGGAGGAGCAGGAAAGTTGACGTTTCGGGTCGGGACTGGAAATCAGAAAAGTTAACTTCGATCTCTCTGCACAGAAGCTGCCAAACCTGCTGGTTTTGTTCATAAAGAGGCCATCTCGGTGTAAATAGAAACCAAAAGAACTGCGGATGCTGTAAATCAGGAACAAAAACAAAGTTGCTGGAAAAACTCAGCAGGTCTGGCAGCATCTGTGAAGGAGAAAACAGAGTTTTAACGTTTCGGGTCCGGTGACCCTTCCTCACGACCACAAGTAGCAGCAGAGGCCAGCAGCAACCACACAAACACAAGGGAGAAAGGAATAGAAGGATATGCCGGCATAATGGAAAGAGCCAAATCTAGTGGATGGATGAACGTGGAATGAGGAAGGGTCACCAGACCCGAAACATTAACTCTTTTTTTCCCCTCACAGATGCTGCCAGACCTGCTGAGCTTTTCCAGCAACTTTGTTTTTGTTCGGTGTAAATAGGCTATTTTTGACTTTTCACGGTTCTCAGTTCAACTTTAGTTGCAGCACTGTTTGTCACTGGCCGCCGCACTTGAGCAGAGCTAGTTAACTTTAAGGTGCCATTTAATACACTCGAACAGTTTGTGAGCTAACTGCTGTTCTTAATTGTTCACAAACGAGGAAATACTCCAGTATTAGTTGGAAATTTTTCATTCCCTACATGTTTAAAAAAAGATCATGAATTGTTACTATTTGCAGAATGCAATTTATATTTTCACAGCCCAATCAGCGGGTGAATGTTTTGAAGATAAAATGCATTCTTCACTTCCCAGCCGTGACGGATTCTGATTAAGTTTTCTAATGACCCGCTATGTTCGCTGACAGCATCGTACACCTTTAAGGTTTTTTTTTAAAAAAGTGAATTAAGTATTTTCCATATAGTTTGACGATCATAAAAAAAATCACTTGTTACTTGCCCAGCGGAGGTTTACTGTTTGTAATTCTAATGAAATTGTCAGGTGTTTTTCATTCCAGAATAACACAATGAAAACGTCTAAAGCGTCTCAGACCGGACTTTGTTGTTCAAATTGCCCTTCACGGCAATAAGGTTCCGGTACAGGAACAAAGATGCTTTGCTGCAATTATACAAGGCATTGGTGAGGCCACATCTAGAAATATTGTGTGCAGTTTTAGTCTCCTTATCTGAGGAGGCATGTTCTAGCTGTAGAGGGAATGCAGTTAAGGTTTACCAAATTTTTCCCCCTTTATTCATTCACAGGATGAGGGTATCTCTGGCTAGGCCAGCATTTAATGCCCATCCCTAATTGCCTAGAAAGCAATTATGAAGTCACCCACATTGCTGTGGGTCTAGTCACATATAGGCCAGACCAGGTGAGGATGGCAGTTTTCTTCCCGAAAGGGCATTAGTGAACCAGATGGGTAATTCCCAACAATTGACAACAGATTCATGGTCATTGTTAGCCTCTTAATTCCAGATATTTATGGAATTCAAATTCCACCATCTGCCATTCGAACCCCGGTCCCCAGAACATTATCTGGGTCTCTGGATTAACAGTCCAGCAATAATACCACTAGGCCATTTCCTCCCCTGTCTAGGGATGGCAGGACTGACTTGAGGAGAGATTGAGTCCCTTACAATTGCATTCACTGGAGTTTAGAAGAATGAGGGGGCATCTCATAGAAACCTTTCAAATTCTAACAGAACCAAAAAAGTTAGATACAGGATGTCCCCAGTGGTGGGGGAGTCCAGAACCAAGGATCATAGTTCAGCGAAAGGATAAATCTTTTAGGACTGAGATGAGGAGAAATTTCTTCACCCAGAAGTAGTGGCCCTGTGGAATTCACTACCACAGAAAGTAATTGAAGCCAAAACATATGTTTTCAAGGAGGTAGATATAGCTCTTTTGCCTAAAGGGATTGAGGGAAAAGAGGGGAGGGCAGGATTTGAGGGGAGGGCCAGATACAGGCCTTGTGCTCAATGATCAGCCATGACCATACTGCATGGTGAAATAGGCTCAAGGGGGTGAATGGCCTCCTCCTGCTCCTATCTTCTTTGTTTCTATTTTAGTGTGGAAAAAAGGATTGGTTAACTTACAGAACACAGAATGTAGGGACAAATGGGTCTTTCTCAGGGTAAGAAGCTGAAGGTAATGGGGTGTGACAGGGATCAGTGTGAGATCCTAAAGAATTTACAAACTATACCAATGACTTGGAAGGCCAGAGAGGAATGATAATATATATGGTGGCTAAACTTGTTAATGCCATCAATATGTGTAGGAAGTTGTCAGGAGAAGGTAAGAGTCTCAAATGCGCAGGCAAAAATTTGGCAAATGGCTTATAGTGTGGATAAATATGAACTTGTACTCTTTTGCAGGAAGAATTGAAAAGCAGTATACTATTTAAATGGACAGAGATTGCACAACTCTGTGATAGTCCAGGTAGCTGTGGGAGATTGAAGGTGATCTGTCATGAGAAACAACTGTAGGTGCTTTAACCTGAGGGTCAACATACCTCACGTGAGGGGACAGGTTGAGGAGTTTTAATGGTAACCTCAGCCAGTGCAGGAATTGAACCCATACTGTTAGTGTCGTGCTGCATTGCAAACTAGCCATTCAACCAACTAAGGTAAGCAGCCCACTGCATTGTACCACTTCTGGGGGAAGGTCCATGCTCAAGTACTCCCTGCCTTGCAAGTGTATCAAAACATGTTCAAATGGGTCGATTTTTTTACAAAAGACACAGATCAAGGTGGGCTGACTGTCAAGATCAGGCTTCATCTGAGTGCAGCAGTGTGCACAGCAGGAAGGAGAGAGGGAAAGACAATAGGCAGAGAAAACATGACTGAAGGCTTGCTTAAAAGACCATGAGAAGTGCTCTTGCTCCTTTCAATCCACAAGCACACTGTTCAAACAGTTACTTCCTGGATCTGACAGTTCCTGCCTCCCCTCAACTGTTGTATTTTCTGAGCCCTGTGAAACCTGGACCCTAGCTATTAATTTCAAAAACACTCCCAATCTAAGGACAGACCCTTCAATTTAATATTAGAATCACCTACATAGTCTTGAGTTAGTTGAATGATCTCAGACTAGCCGAGATAAAAGCAGAAGTAGATATCGTTGGAATTGGGTTTGACATTTTAATAATTTAACCAAGATTCTTTACAAAATTTCTACCAACCTGTCAATCACAGCATTCCAGCCAATAATTCTTTTTACACTTCCCAATGATCTCAGAAATCACCGTCAATCGAAGCTACCAATTCATAGTTGCAGCCTGTGCTTTGAACTCATATCAAGTTGCTTGTTATAGTCTGGCTGGCTCAGAGCCATGAATACACTGAATAATGCTTCTGCTTCTCTGGAACCAACAAAAATAAATCAACATTTAAATCTGGCAGGACTCATCCGTTTCATTGCCAGTGGACCTGATCAGAGTATGCAGAGTACACATTAAAAGGATTTTCAGTAAAGGGGCATAATGTCTGAAACACTTGGCAATTGGCCCCTTTTCAGAATTGAATCAGCTGTACTGCCAGTGTTAAATCGAGTGATAAGGCTACTTACTAATCTGAGACTGTCACTATCAAGTAGTGCCAAATGGTTAAAATAAACTCCTGTGCATGTTTTAATAAGCTAGAGTGCTACTTTAATATCACTAGTACAAATCTGTGCATTGATCACAGAATCATTCAGTACAGAAAAGACGCTTTGGCCCTTTGAGTCTGATCCACCAAAACTATACAGTAGTCCCACTCTCTTGCACTAGGCCCACAGCCTTGGACGTTATGACATTTCAAGTGCTCATCCAACAACATTTTAAAGGTTGTGAGGTTCCTTGCCTCAACTACCCTCCAACACAGTGCATTCCAGATCCCACCTCCATTTGAGTGTTTTTCTTCAAATCCTCTCTGAACCTTTTTTACACAGTTTTTTACACAGAGGGTGGTGGGTGCCTGGAACTCGCTGCTGGGGGAGGTAGTGGAAGCAGATACGATAGTGACTTTTAAAGGGCGTTTTGACAAATACATGAATAGGATGGGAATAGAGGGATACAGTCCCCGGAAGGATAGGGGGTTTTAGTTGTGACGGGCAGCATGTCGGTGCAGGCTTGGGTGGCCAAAGGGCCTGTTCCTGTGCTGTAATTTTCTTTGTTCTTTGTTCTAAAAGAGTCAAACAGGATTGCAAGTTTGATAGGCATGGATTTGTAAAGCGGCAAAATGTTAAAGGTGTTGAACAGTTCAGAGAGGTTGGAGATGGTGCTGTAGTTTGCAAGGACAGAAAGACTGAAAGAGGGCTGTGTTGCCATATGACAGCTTGGAGGTTCTGTGCACACTGATCAGCATGTCGACACATGGAGCTCGCAAATCTGTGTGATAGCAGAGAAAATTGGAAGGAATGTTGCTGCTGACAACCCACAGTCAAAATGCAGGTAAACATGAGATACACGCAGTATTAAAATAACCCCCAGTGACACAACAGCAAAGGTCCCTGGCTTCAAGATCCTTCAAAGAAATTAGTAGCCAAATACAGAACACAGATGATGCAACCTGTTCCATAATTGGAAGATAAGGAATGACCTGAAGTGTGAATGTGGCCACAAGTCCTAGATCATGGGACACCACACCTTAACCTGGCCGCGAAGAATTTTTTTTTGGCAAACATTTTTTTTCTATGCAGTA